TATCAAGTTATCATTATGCCATCAAGTGCCTCAATTAAATCCCAAGTTTGTATAAGATATTTTTCTAGTCCTATTATTTTTTTTATCTGATAATATTTGATATCGGGAATCAAGATATAGTTAACAGAATGCATTATTTTTTTAGCGTAATCTCCCTATTTTTATGGATCAATTAGAAAATGTCGTATATTAAGTTTCTTATCAATCATGCATTTTAAGAGATAACCAGAAGTCATTTATCATAAATTACTAGTAATAATAATAAAATATTATAATTAAAAAACAAATTATTTCCTTGAACTTCTATCTAGGCCTCGAACAATCGACGGTAAGAGGCCTGATGGGTTAACACTAAAGTTATGCAAAGCCCGACCCGTTAAGAATTTTTGCATGTTGCCTGTCCCATTATATTTTCTTGCCCGGCCAGGCATAAAAAAATTTTTTTGGCTTGTTAGAATTTTACAAAATTTTGGCCTGCATATTAAATTTTACAAAAAGTACGCACCAACATCCTTCATTAAAGTGATAAAAAATATAATATTTGCTTTGTCGAAAATTGTTAAATCTATTATTTTTTACTTGCCATTTTAAAAATAAAATTTTAAAATTTTCTTAGGCCACTTTCAAACAAGTCTTTTTTTAAGCGGTTGCATAGGTACGTTTTCAACAATTTTATTTAAACATAACGAATAATTTGTCGAGTTAATTTTTTTGCATAATATAAAATATCTTTAAAAAAAGCTTGTTTTAGGTTCATTAAAAATATTAATTTGGGTTCGGTTCGACATTTTGTCAAGAACTAGACTTACTTACTTTTTCATATTTTTGACATTGATGACGATGATTGAGACCATCAATTTTATAAGATATAAATTTTAATAAATCATAACAGGTTTCAGCCTAAATGTTTTCTAGCAATAAACAAAGTTTTTTTTATATTGTCCAAAAAAAAGTATGTCCTTTCGAGGAAACAGCTATGCCTTGAATGGTCCCGTATGAATGTAACATGAAGATACTTTATTTCACCAAAGAAGATCATGTACCAATGTTTTAATAATTGTAAGAAGAATTAAAAAGAGTTAAGGATGATGTATAAATAGAATTTATAAATAAAATGAATGAGAACAATATGTGCGAATCTATAAAAACTAAATATGATCAAAAAAAGATATCATAAAAAATTCGCCATAAGAAAAAAATAAGATTTTTGATAAATATTATTGATTCTATAAATTTATCTAGTTATAGTATATTCTCAAATATAAAAAAATGTTCTTTAGCATTCTCTGAACTGGAAGTAAAAGTACGCACACAAGTTTGACAATGAAATAGTTTTTAATAGCATAATATAATCTTTTAAAATAGTTATCTATAACTTTTTTGCCCATATCTAAAATTTTACAAAATAATATATAAAAGGCTATAAAGTGTTTAGAATTGAAGTAAACTGCAGATATAATAGATATGGCATATCCAATACTTCGGAATCTGTTCAAACATGGCGCCGCGCTTACACTAAATTTAGCCTTTTTTAACTAAATAGACTTAAATAAAATACCGATAGCTAAATAAATTCATTATTTACACCTGTAGGTAAATTTAGCTTTAACTTAGATCCTAATTATTAAATCAAATCAAACGAAAACTTGATTTTACTCAATATTTTACAATTTATCGAGGATTTTTATAGTTACGATAAAATTCTGAAAAGTAGGAGACCGGGACTTGTTGGGGACGTTAGTTCTTAATTAAATTTATTTCTAAGCTTTCATGATATAGGAGATGAAATTTAAACTGAATTATATAGATTGTGCCATACATAATTGGCTAAAAAGGATTTCAAGAATGATTTCTTCTTTTAATTTTTACAAAGGTAACTTTGTTTTAGTAGCATGCCAAAAGGAATAAATATTAAATTCAAACTTAATCATTATTATTTATACATAGAGCTTATAAAATATCAATAAATAGACTGTAGATAAGTTCAAACCCTATTTTTAATCTGTCAATATTTCAGAAATATATAACATGAATTATTATCATTTTAAATGACAGAATTAAAAGTTGTAAGGAGATAATCCTGCTAATTATAGCATATTTATATTTTATTTAGATTAGACATGTAAATAATTGTAAATATTTATCAATCTCGGCGTATATTTTGTTCTGAATTAATGCCATGAGGTAGCCTAAACATTTATCTAAAATTATAAATTCTATTTAACGGCTAGAATAACGGCTAACTCAATATTTTATCTAATGCAAAACCTGAGGATTTTGCTCATAGATTGCACAAAGTATTGGATACCTATTAGCTAAATCTCGAGGCTTAGGCAATATTTTTCTAGCCAAAATATTAAATTCCGGTTTTAAAAATAGGTTCGAATCGAGCTATTTAATAATACTATTTTATCCTTCTGTTAAATTTAGATTGATCTTGGAATAAATCAGGGTTCTGTTCCTTATAAGCTTCTCTAAATTTCAGAGAGGTTTTATATGAATTTTCAGTGAATTTGTCATATTCGAAAATGTTCTCGTAAAAAAGTATCTAATTTTCAATATATGTGAATCAAGGCTTTGAAATCTGAGCCCGAACCATGCTTAGGAAATTTTTGCAAGCTTTAATCATAATACCCGATTTTATTTTTTGATTACGTTATTTATTGCATTATTAAAATTTTATAACTCTGGACCCGGACCCTGATTTTTTGACGAAGGATTCACATCCCTGATATAAATTTGTTTAAAAATAATCAAAATGGGACCGTTTAAAATTTTATAATAATAAACGAAATAGAACTAACCCGTTGGTGCAACACCCTGCTCACATCTATTTACTATTAAAGTTAAAACAAAAAGTCTTTAAGTTGTGTAGTAGTGTTGTTAAAAGCCAGAATTTTAAAAACGACCCGATTAAGATTTGATATGCCTAACTATGATCGTAAAGTCATTTGATCATAAATTCGTCTATAGGGTTAGGGTTCCTGATTGGCTTATTTAATAGCTGTAAATTAAGATAATAATTTAAATATTGTTAAAAAATTACTTGGAATTAACTGATATAAAATAAATACATAAATCGAATAATTACTTGCATATAAATTCATTCATATAATAAGGATATCAACCATTTTGACAGAAAATGGTCCAAAATCTTACGATCAGAGGGGACCCTCCCAAGATTTTAGCCACAATAATATTAAGTAAGCCTCGAGATTTGCCAAATAGATGTCCAAACCTTTCTACCATCTATGATCAAAATCTCAAGGCTTCATAATATTATTTGGGCCAAAATCTTAATCGGGCCATTTTTATAAATCGACCTAAAATTGGGCTTTTTAACAACACTAATATGTAGACTTCAATTTAATTATATTGTCAATGATTTGTAAATTTTTTCTAGTGAACCCGAAAAAACTTTGTTTATTTTACCTTGAATAGCGCCCAATCTAAACTTTCAAACCTATGCCCACCCTGATGCTTGTTATTTTCTCCAAAATACTTGCTAATTAGGGTTAGGTATTCACCAATACTATTTAGTTAATTGACCGGTAAAATTAAATTAGATGATTTTACGACACTAAACTTTCTCTGATATAAATAGATAGTAATAAATATATAATTTTGAGAAATAATATTTCATTTTCGCTTTCTTTGACCTATAGTTTTCTTCTAATTCAAAGTAGCTATTATCATTTTCTTTTATATTTAATTAAGTTATAAATATCACATGGTCAAAGTTTTTAATCGATTTTAGTTCTTTGCATGAATATGAGGAGACCAGGGCATATCGGATCAAGGGTAAGTCGAACTAAATTAAAAAAGTCGAAAGTTTGAAACTTATCCAAAGACCATCAACAAGAATTATTTCTTTTATTCAACTCATAATTTTATACTAAAAAATCTAATATTTAAATTTAAGGTATTAAAATATTTAAATTTTGTCCTAATATAGATTTTAGTAAAGTGCTTTACATATCTATACAAAAAAAAACATTCCGAAAAAATTAACTATTAAATGATGGCAAATATAGAAAATTGTTGCAAAACAAGATTATAATTTGTATTAAATTTAAAAAAACACTAATATGCAATTTAACTTAAATAGCAAAGTTTAAAACTCTTATAATTTGAAAATACATTATTATCAAGATTGTAAAGCTAGTATTAATAGATAGAACAAGCCAGGAGACTTTGAGCACCTAGGATTAATAAAAACTTAAAATATTAAATAAAGTGAAAAGTTTTGTTAAAATAGCAATATGGTGCTAACTGTAAGAGTTATCGCAAATATTATTAGTGATGATTTAATGAAACATATTGACGATTAAATTAAAACCCATCCATATAAAATTATAATCTTTGCAAAAATAATTAAAATAACAAAAGGAATAATAAAAGAAATTTCAATAATGCTTTGTCTATATTTTAATTATTTTTGCAAAGATTATAATTTTATATAAATGGATTTTAATTTAATCGTTAATATGTTTCATTAAATCATCACAACACTGTATATCTTTGATAAAATAATTGTTAATTTTTATATTCTAATAATCAGGCGACAGATTGATAAAATGTGATATCGGTAGAAACAATTAAATAAAATAAAAACCAGTTGATTTTCAATATATAGTGGATTAACCCAAAAAATTATCCAATATCTCTGAAGTTATGTGTATAAATATATAAATAAAAATATTAAAAATGAAGTTTTTTATAAACTATTTATTTATATTATACAATATTTTTGCTAAAAAATAGCATTAAAAATTTAATTTGTTTGAGAACAATAACCACATGAGTACAAAAATTTATAAAAATTATAAGATTATAGAAAAATCACCTGAGATGTTTGTCCATTAGTAATATTTAACAAAAATGACTTTAAGAAAAAGAATAAGTTGTAAAAAAATATATCATCCATATCAGAATTTGTGAGATATTGCACAAAAATGCATAATTAATGAAATTTTTGTTAAAGCTTATTTTTTGTTTACCGAGCTCCAAGGGCCAATATATAATTGAGGCTTGCTCGGTGTTTCGTATTTAATTGGCCGATTGCGTTTTTGTAAATTATTATTAATATCTATCATATAATCAAGTTTGGAATTGATAGGCAGTGTTAGAGCGGCCATTTGTTGGCAATCGGCAGATAAACATTCTTCAGAACTGACTGGTTTAGTACTTTCGGCGCAGAAGGATTCGTGTACCCCAATATTGTCAATATCTCTTGTACAAGTTATGGTGCGAGTCTTAATTCCCTGGCAGGGTAATTTGTTACACTTTTATTGTATAATAAATTTATAAGAGATTTAAAAAGGCATATTATTAATCTAAAAAATATTTATCTTTTAAATATATTGTAATAATGTTTTATTTATTAACCCGGCTCCAATCGGACGTTTTCCATATATAGCAAGGCTTTTCAAAGCATTTATCGAAATTGATAGGTTTTAATTGTTCGTCGCAGTCGCTCGCTGCAGCTCCTTGAGAATTTTGGCATAAAACTAATCTCCTTTTCCAGCCATTTCCGCATTTCACAGAACACTATTATAAAATAATTTTAATAAAAAATATAATATAGCATCTAAACCTGACTCCATGTGCCCATCCTCCAAATGCTATTAGTGATAGGTTTATAAATCAACTTTAAACCAGGGAGAGTATTTAAGTCGCTAGGGTGAGTTTTATTAGAGGAAAAATGTTTGACATTATAAAACTGGTGATTCTGATGAGAATTTCTGGGATAGGGGAGATCCTTATTATCCTTTTCTATGCCTGGTGATGGCGAAGGTTTGATTTGTTTAACTATTTGTAATCGGTTAGATACATCAATGTTTTGATCAGATTTATTATTATCAATCTGTTCATTTATACAAGGTCTTATAGAGCATTCGCTAGTGACAATGGGTTTGGTAGCGGGATCACATTCAATTTCGTCTTTAATATGTCCGGTGTCGAAAAGAACGCAGGCTACGTACCTATTTTTAGTGCCTTTGCCACAAGAATTTGAACACTAAAATAAAATAATATTTTATGTGTAATTGCGAAATAGTTTTTGAAATGACTTCTTATTAATTTATTTATAATAATTTGAATTATATATAGTATAAATCAGAGGAGAAACTAAATTTATAATAGTGGTGGACAAATATATTTTTGCGATAACAATGACGTAGTGATCATTGTAAAAAAAATCATAAAGAAATTATATTAAAATTTCTTTCTTAGGAAGTGTTAAATTCCAATTTTATTTTATAAATAAATTCTTGGTTATTATTTGCGTAATATAAGTTTCTGAATATTTTAAAATAAATTGTATTAACTTTTTGCCAGCTCCCGACTCTCCATAACCCGCAGAATGCAACTTTACACTGTTCTACGATGGCGGGTTTAGGGGTATATAGTTCACATACTTTTTCGTCATATATTTTTGTGCCATTTTTATAAATGCATGTTATGACTCGTTCTCTAAGACCCAAGCCACAACTCTGTGAACACTAAAAGTATATAATTATAAATTGTATAATATAAATCACTTAAAATTAGGAGTGATAAAATTCCTGGGAAATTTTAGAAAATGTATAAAATTTATTAAGGTATAAATTCTGTTAAATATTTAGTTGATTAAGAAGGTTTTCTTTTCCGCCAGTTTAGTTGTGTGACTCACACATTCTTAAGAGGCAGCTATTAACATTATTATTCATAATACCAAGAGCCTGCCTCCCAAGCCCTGGTCATAGTTAATGATGTTTCTGCATGCTCACAATTGAACTAAGAGAATTAGCATATTATAATAAAAGTGTATGTTTTAAGTGTATAGAGAATTCACCTAAGGAGAGGGTAAATGGAGTGTTTAGCCCCCATCAATTTTATTGGCGAACCTTAGGCCAGATTATTATATTAGACTGTAATATTTTTATATCTGATAAAGATTATTTTCTCACCTCTTTTTTCAAAATAATAAAAGTAATCCTTCAGATATCAGAAAAGTTTCTTAAAATTTTAATTGCCTATATTCTATTTATAAAGAATAAATTTAAAAAAGCAGAATTTTTCTTATTTTATTGACATGTGAAAATAAATTTTCCCCTAATTTTGAAATCCTGGTTCTGAGCTTTATATCTCTAAAAATGTCCAATAATGATTGAAAGCATTTTAATACAACACAAAAAAGGTCTTCTAAATGCCTCACATCCAACCCCGTAGACAATCCCTCACCCCACCCAATTTTTAAAAAATCTTTTTAGATCCTTAAACTAGGCCTCCAAATTTGTTTCTAATGGCTTAAAAATAACCTAAAAAATATTAGCCCCCAAAAATATTGCCCCCTCCCACCCCCACTAAAACTTCAAGACTATGAGCCTGCCCTTACCCATTTATGTAGTCAATTCCTTAGCCAGATAACACCATAATTACCATATATATGTAAAAGTTAGTTTCCTTTTTTATTTAAAAGATTTTATACCATAGTCCAAGAGCCTATTTTCCATATAATATTATTCTCGTTGGGGGAAATTTGATTGTTCTTATCAAAAGGTAAGGGTAAGTACGAAATTCCGTCTTTTCTTCTGTTATCATATTTGGTTTCTTGATGATAAAAAGTTGGGGTTTTCGGAATCAAGGAACTAGTACCACTTTGTTGAATATCGTTAGAAATATCGTCGTGATAAATAGATGATATACACTCTGAATAACAGTTTTGAGATGTCGCAGGTTTCTGGGCGAATTGCTCCAAGCAATAATTATCATTAACCGGTGTGGAGGAAAGCGATACTAAGGAAATCTTCGAGTCGACTAAAAGACAATGAACTGATCTAGTTTTGTAACCATTACCGCACTTAGCCACAGGAATGCACTATTTTAATATTTAAGGACTTTATTAACTTAATATTACACCATGTTAAAATTAAAATTGCCCTAATACTAAATAACTTTAAATCAAAGACCTGCAATTTCTAAATCACCCCCTTCTCGCATATCCGAGTTTATTTTATTCGTTTATTTTCTCAATTTTAAAACTAGTATGAAAACTTGAATCTAGCAGCCAGGGGCTTAAATGAGCTAATCCAGACCAAGCCTGCAGATGTCTGTTTTATAAAATATACTAGATGGGCCAATTTTCTTGGGCTTCAAATTTTATACTCTTATTTGGATTATGTAAAAATTATAAAAACCTTAGTGAAATAAAATTTCCATGACAATTCAGCGAAACTTTTATCGCGAATGAATTTTAGCGAAACTTTTATAGCGAATACACAATACAAACATTTCCAGAAAAACAATATCGCGAATTTTTTATAAAGAAACCCTTATCGCGAAACATTTACAGCAAATATAATTATCGCGAAAATTTTATAACGAAATCATTATCGCGAACCCCAAATCGTAAAGACAATATAGAAAAAACTATTTCGAGTCGAGTTCTTGGAAATCGACTAAAAACTTTAGCGACTCAAGTTGATCTATTTAGTCGGCTTAGTCGAACATTTAGTCGGCTTAGTTTACCCATAGTGAACTAAATTGAATTTTAGAGTCGAACTTGCATCACTGTATAGCCGGGATAAAAATTAAATTGTAAACATGGTAAATTAGGATTTCAGTGAAGATGAACCATAGAAAAGTGACAATTGTCATATAATCCTTATTTTGTTTTTCTGACGCAAATGAGTAAGAATATATATATAATAAACATGTCAATAGGATTTCAGCGAAGATATACCATAGAAAAGTGACAATTGTCATAATCGTATTTTTAAACTTTTTTTGAAGCAAATGGGTAAAAAAAATTCTAAACATTTTAAATTGAGATTTTAAGGAAGATGAACCATAGAAAAGTGACAATTGTCATAATCCTTATTTTTTAATTTTAGAATTATTTGAAGCAAATGGGCAAAAATATAAATTGCAAACAGCAATTAAAATTTAAATGAAGATATATCATAAAAAGTGTCAATTAAATCGTTATTTTGAAACTTGTTTGAATTTTTCTGAAGCAAATGTGTAAAAATATTAATTGTAAACATGTTAAATTAAAATCTAAATGAAGATGTACCATAATAGAAAAGTGACAATTGTCATTATTGTTAATTTTAAATTTTTGAATATTTAAGTAAATGGGTAAAAATATTAAATGTAAACATGCTATTTAAATTAGGATGTACCAAAAGAAAAGTGACAAAGACAAATGTCATAATCATTGTTTTTAACCTTTTAATTTATTTTTAACAAATGGGTAAAAAAAAATAATGTGTAAACATGTTAAATTGAGATTTTAGGGAGGATGATCCATAGAAAAGTGACAATTGTCATATTCATTATTTTTCAAATATTTTGAAGCAAATAGGTAAAAATATAAATTATAAACATGTGAAATTAAAATTTCAGTGAAGATAACGCTATTTTTTTAAACTTTATATATAATGCAGATGTTATATAAATATTATTAAAAACTACCACTTTAGAGTACAATATATCATTATCAATACTATTTTAGGGAATGTATAAAAAAATTCCCAATTTTTAGCTATTTATGACCTATCTCATTTTGATTTGGATATTTTGTTTATATAATTTAAAATACCACTGAAAATTTTCAAATTCGGTTATTTGTCAATTGCAACAAAAAAAAATCATAATTATGTTATAAGTAAAGTATGATCTTTACCTAATGATATAATATACGGTATATAATACTTGTTAAAAAAAATAAGAGAAATCGGCGCTATTTTGAACTTTTTGATTCAAAGTACCAAAAATTAGGAAAAAATTACTGTTGACATAAATCATTATATGAGTGGAATCTCCCATCATTAAGCAATAATTTTATTATGCTAAATAATTATTGACTCAAACATATTTTTTTATTTTTCGTCCGGAATTACCCCATTACCCAAGCTCAACAAATTGCAAATATTTTAAAAAATATCAAATCAATAATCTTGAAATTTGGTAAATATATTCCTTATCAAAATACGGTAACTCAATGAAACTCGGGGAAATTTTTAATATTACTTTTTTTTTTAAATTTTCTTTATTTAAAAATAATAAATATGCGATTGCGATCGAGTGGATATGGATGGAAATTTTTTGAAGCAATAATAATTCAATATTACATTACTCAAAAGTTTTAAGAATTTCATATTTTTTTCTTATAAAAATTTTCACAATTCTTTAATTTTAAATATAAATGGTAAAGGTGTGTGCTATATTAAATGCTATTAAATTAGGACTATAATTATTTTAGTGAATATTTTCACAATTCTTTAATTTGACATTAAAAATATATATTATTTAAAAATTTTAAAAAGAAATGTGCTATATTGGATGCTACTAAGTTAGGACTATTAAATCAAATACTAGATAATTAAGCAATTTATTTGAATAAACATAATATATAAACTGATAATATAGATATATATAATTTTAAGGAAAAACATAAATAGTTCTATATAAATTTATATCATTTAAAAATTTAATTAATATACATTTGACATATTTTTAATATTACGAAAATAAGTATATTTACATATATATAAATGAGCTGGGGATGTTCGCCTTAAGATCCCCCCATAAACGCTCAATACGTATGGGTCGATATATCATTTGGGTCTATAAAGTTTCTGCTGTGATTGACAGAGTAATGATCTTATCCATTTTCATTAAGATTGTTATAACTTGGAAAAATATTAAATTTTAAGATTTGTGCGATCGCATATTTATTATAAAGCTTAAAAATAACGATTCTGATAATTGTCACCTTACTATGGTTACCTTCATTTTTAACAAGTTTACACTTTATATTTTTACCCATTTGCTTCAAAAAAAAATTCAAAAATAATAAATAATTATTTAATTGTCACTTTTCTATGGTAAATCTTCATTGAAATCTTATTAACATGTTTATAATATATATTTTTGCCCATTTGCCTCAAAAAGGTTTAAAGATAATGATTATGACAATTGTCACTTATGTGGTTAATCTTCCCTAAAATTTTGATTTAACATGATTAAAATTCTTTTTTTAGCCATTTGGTTCAAAAAAAATTAAAAAATAAAGATTATATGACAATTGTCACTTTTTTATGGTTCATCTTCACTGAAATCCCAATTTAACATGTTTACAATTTATATTTTTCCCCGACTTCGGTGATGCAAGTTAGAATCAATAATTTGATTAAGACGACTAAATGAATCAACTTGGTCGACTAATAGACTAATTTAGTCGTTCGAATTTAGTCGATTTTTTCCACTATGACTATTAGTTAGTCGTCTTTTAGCCGACTAAATTTAGTCGATTGACAACACGAATTGCTAATAATTACTATTTGAAACATTTATTTTTATGATCATATTAATTGAATAATATTTTTTAAAGATAGGTACAAGATTGATTCAATTATAGAGTCTTTAATTTTCTTTTAGCCTTAATAAATATATTGGAATAAAATATTCTTGCTCGAAGTCTTATTTTATAAAACGCGCAAAAGGAACTCAGGCGTTATTAATATATTAATCATTAAGTTCATTAGCTAAACCTAGATCCTTATTAGCAAAATTGATACCTGGGTTGGGCCAATATTTATTGAAGTCCTTAATATGTAAAAATTCATCAATCAGTTTTGCCAGTCACTAACCAAGCGTTATAAGCTAGACTGCCTTCATTGAATTTTGAATGGTGATTCAAAAATAAATTACATCTAAGGGATTTCTCTAATTCAAAATATTTTGAATCTTATGATTTTATGATCTTTAATAGTTTTTTTTTATCTATAAAATATAAGTCTAAAATTTAATAGGAATCTGAATCTAATATTGAGACGCAGCCTTAAGCACGAAATTTGTCAAACTTTTCATACCAGCATATATTATTTTTTTCCCTTACTCAGAACTAAAACTACTTAAAAGTAATTTTTACTGAATTCCCAAAAGATGATTTTGCTAATTAAAAAATTTTTAATTTTCTCAGAATTTAATTTCTTAGAAAATATTGCTCAGAAATATTTACTATTTATTAATTCTATAACATGATTTTTTGAGTTTTAAAATTACATTAGTCTGAGTTTTAATATCAGAAAATTGAATAAAATAATTCAAAATTTAAAAAAAAAATACTTATCAAAATCTTCTATGATTTATAAAAATAATCTGAGAAAATCATCAAAAATTCTAGCTTTTACTATTTTTCATCTTGATAGAAAAAATTTCAAAGTATTTCAAAATATTTGTTCAAATTTACTTTTAATGGCATAATCACATTTTAAAAATAATTTATGTTGAAGGGAGGGGAGGGGCGGTGGTAAATTTTTTGGGGTAAAAACCTGAACCAAATATCCCTTCCATACTTAAAACCAAGTGTAAGAAGAACCCAGAAAGATATTGGTTAATTAATTTTTTATAATATCAGATAAAGGTTACATGCTTACTTAAGCAATTGGTAACAAAAGATCCATAAAACATTTCGCGTTTATGATTTAAGGAACATTTGTGATTAAATTAATATTCAATATGTTGTTCATTGTTTCACAGTAATAAGCTCGCGATAAAGACTTCGCGCAAACATTAAAAAATTCGCTGTAAAGGGTTCGCGATAAAAGTTCCGCTATAACGAGTTCGCGTTAAGAGTTTCGCTAAAATGTATTCGTTGTTAAGGTTTCGCGGAAATAGATTCATGATAATGGCTTCGCTATATTGTTTTGCTATAAATGTTTCGCGATATTACCTTCGCTATAAAATTCCTTCACGATAAGAGACATTGGCGATAAAAGTTTCTCTGAATTGACCAGATATGGAAATAAATGCGTGCTCAGCAGGCCTAATGATGAGTAAGTTTTAAATATTTTATGAGTAAAACATCTATTTGAGCATGCAAGAGTGAAAGGAGAGAGCAATGCCCCAGCTTAAGCAATACAACAATATCCAGCAATGATGTTACTATTTTTTTTAAAGATAATATACTTCAGTCCAAGGATCACTATTCCACATACAAATTTTACTGCTCTCACAAATCTCATTTTCATTCGGTTTTGAATCCTGCGGGCAAAATAAGGAATCAATTCTTTGATCGTCTTGTTGACACCATACGCTTCTTGACTGTACTCCCTTACCACAAGGTTTTGAACACTTAAAATTTTGCAAAACAATGTCGATAAAAAAATATGATCTTATATCACAGGGAAAAAAATTAAATAAAATCATCATAAAATACCGTTGTTAATTGTGAGAAATGCCAAGTAGGACAAGGTGAAGTACGACATATTTGAGATAATACAGTGAGAGTACTGTTACAATAATGAGGACCTACTGTGCGATTAGAAGAATCTATACATGTAGCTTGCCTAGTCCTAATTCCTCCCCCGCAACTAGCAGAACACTATAATAAATCAATTTTGCATCATAATTAGTATATCCATGATCTTGCAGTTTTTAAAGGTCACGTTATTCCATTCCATAATAATGTTTACCAAAATAATTTTTTAAAGTATTACTTACACTAGACCAGGGAGTATAACTCCAATGAGTTATCCATGAGCAAGGCTTGAGAAAACAGGGCTGAACAAATGCGGGTTTGTGCGAGTTAAATCTACATTCTGAATCGGATACGATAGATGATACATTATAGATAGATTCGTTTCCAGTCCCATTTTCATCAATCTTTAAGCATACCACAATGTTTTTTTGAAATCCATGACCACAAGTTACAGAGCATGGAGTTCTGTCTAATACTTTCCAACTATTTTGATTTTGGAATGAGAATTATATTTAATTAATTATACATATATATCAATTTATTTTAAAACCTAAAATTACATTCAATATCACATTTTTCTTCAATTTGCAAAGGTTTAGAAAGATGATCACATTTGGCGCTTGGTTCAACATCAAAAGTTTGAGTATTAATACATAAAACTTTTCTAGATCGTTTTCCTTCAAATAAATAATACATACATTAATATACAATAAATCTATCATTACTATTTTTGTAACTGATAAAAAAGAGATACCATATAAGAAATGTAATTCAAAATCTTGTCATTTTTTAAATTTAAAAAAAATATAAGATTTTTCCCAGTCTTTCCACAAATATTTTTTTTGATGTTTAATTTAAGCCCTAATGATATGGATATTATTCAAAAGTAAAATAAAGTTCTAATCTATTTAGGAATTTGTAGATCAATTTTTTCCTTAGAAATTATGGTTAAAAGGATGATTAATTTTTTTTTAAAGAATTAATTATTTTGAATATCGGTCATTTTATCGGTTAAAATCAATAGCGTTAGAAGGGTAATTTTTTTAAAAATCCCTTTATAAAAAATTAAAATTGTTAGTTAAAAAAAAGGTAATTTTGAAATTGTTAGTTAAAAAAGGAGTCATTTTAAAAAAATTTTTTTTTAGCCCCCTGAGATTGTAAAGGGTTAAAATTAAAAATATCGAATCCGTATCGGAACATCTCTGATAAATATATAACATATATCAATGGATTACCTTTACAACTACATTTATTCCAAGGCCCATATATATTCCAGGTAAAAACTTGAACTTTTTCTCTGAAATTAGTTGAAATATCGTAAGAATATCTGATGTCAGGTGGATACAAGTGTCCAACTGTTAAGACCTAAATTATTTTCACAAATATTTTGTAAAAAAATTAAGAAAATAAGATTATGGTATACTTGAATGATAAGATCCGATTTTATCATTCCAGTGCTGTTAATACGTTCTACGGCAGTATTTGAACCAGTGTATTGCAAGAGAGATGGACCGTATTTGATATCTAATCTTGTCATAGTTATGCTATTTCCACCATTAATTAGATATTCACCCTTGTCACTCCTTAACGCTAGAAAATTGAAACATATATTAGTTACCTTAAGTTTTATATCCTTTTATTTTAACAAAAATAAGGGACAACGTTTTTAAAAAATTACGGTTCAAGGGCATATTATAAATGTTGCGTAAGTTACTGATAATCATAAAGCAGGAAAGGATCAGACTCATATTAAATAAAATATATTTGTTTTAAAAGGTTATATAGTAATAGTATTTTATAACATGTTTTATTTAAGACAATGGTCCATACATATTAAAAAAAACTATTTAAATGAAATTAATGATTCATTAAAGAAACCTAAATAGTTATCATCAGCTTCTATGCCATGCATCCCGTATTGTCTAATATCAATATTCATGGCGCCAACCGGTATTCTTCCAACGTTATTATAGCCGTACTTAATCAGATTGTAAGATCCGACAACAGTATGGCACGTCGAATTATCTCCCCCGCAAACACCGCATTTGTCGAATTCAGCTCGCGATCCTAGAACTTGGTCGCAACCTACTGACTTTTTATTATTAATATACGAATATTAGTATATTGTGTAATAGACATATTATTTTAAGGAAATTTGGCAAATATTAAATTTATTTTCTTATAAAAAAATAAACACAATAAAAAATGAGTGAATTAATTATAAAATGATTGTGCTAATATTGCAACAAATATTGTTAAATTATCTTAAGATGATTGTGAGGGGCGTCACTAGATTTAACAATCTCATGGGGCTAAAAAAAAATTTAAATTTACAATATGATCTTTTATTAGGTATAAAAAATTTTCAAAATTTTCAGGGGGCTCTTGATATCTGCTTTAAATCATAATAATTTTATATTATTATAGGGTTTTAACTCTACTTTTGGAACTTGGCAAAGTTAGAGTGAGGCAAGGACAGATCTGAGTTCTAGGCCCAGTCGGACTCGGACAGTTCTCTCGGACATATCATAATTTTTTTGAAAAAAAATTGAAAATTTTTCGTATATTCTAGAATCGGGTCTGACTTGAAAAAATAGATATGATGAAGAGCTCTAGCCCCCCTCCAAAAAACCGCCAGATAATTTTAATGTTTTTAAATAAAAAAATTGGAGATATCCCGATGACGAGTATCGGTTTTATATGGATGATAATCAATAAGAAATGCCATAATTTACTCTGCAAATTCCTTGAATACATATTTGAGTAGATTCCAAATCGCAAGGAGTTCCATCAATTACCTTGTTGGCTAGTTTATGTCCTGATGATTTTTCAGCCCGACAATATAGCTTACATTTTTCCTGAAATTGCACTATATTAAAATAAATATTTTAAAATGTTTTTGAATGAATATAATTACTTTCATAAGAAGCTATCCACTTAACATCCGATGGTATTCCTAAAATTCCCATATTATTGCCATTAAATTTAGCGCATTGTTCATTTCTAAAGTCATTCTTATGCAAGCATTCCTATTAGCGAATTTTCATTTAGGATTAAGCATTAGGTTTTTTTAAAAAATAAAAAGTAATAATTACTTGAGTATTGCAAGATTTGGCTCTGCTCCTACGACCTAAACAATATCTGCCGTTATTCGCGGGTCTTTAAACAAAATAGTAATAATATTTATAATAGTATTTGTTGAGTTGATAAATATTTAGATTAGAGATCTACAAAGTTAGGCCCGGCCCGAGTCCGGTCGGGCCTAATTTTATTTAAAATAATCGGGTTCGGGCTGGGCTAATACTTTTTAAAAAAATTCGGGCCGGGTCGAACTTTGGAAATTTTATTAAATTTATTTAAATTTATCAATTTTTATATTGAATTTTTTATGTAAAATAAAAATATTTGATTTTATTTATTGAAATTAAACGACATATAACATATGTCTTTTATTATAGAAATTAATTATTAAAATTAATTTCTATTTTAAATAAATTTGGGCTGGGCCGGCAAAACTTTTTTAAAAAAATTAGGGTTAGGGGCCGGCAAAACTTTTATAAAAAAAATTTCGGACCTGGCCGGGCTTGAAAAATTAGACCCGATGCAGATCACTAATTTAGATTATTTAAATTATAATAAATAATAATGGCGTCGCTCGCTCTTACCATTTAGTGTGCTAAAATTTAATTTATGCGTTCTGAGAACGCCTTTATCTCTCCGTAGCGACACCATATATGGGTTATTTATTTATTTTTTATTATAAAATTTGAAGTTTATAAAAATATGCAGTGTCAAACTTAACATATCTTTTTAGTTGAGTCTAGGGCGTATAACTAGTTTTAACGGCTCGAATTTTAAAAACGGCCAACCCAATATTTTAGCCAAAAATATTACGAAAGCCTAGAGATTTTTTACATTGATGGCAGAGGTTTAAACATATATTAACGAAATCTCTAGGCTTGCATAACATTTTTTGGCTAAAATATTTGGGTTAGCCGTTTTTAAAAATCGAGTCATTTAACAACACTAGTGTATACTTTGGAGAAAAAATCCATTATCACAAAAAAAGCTGACTGAGTTAGAATCTTTGGTGACCAAGATTTAGTAATAGCAATTATCACTTAGGGCTGCTGTAAAGTCATTTTATTGTTTGAGGTGCCCAAATTAAATTTTTTTGAGCGCACTCTTATTAAATTTAGACATGCCTCCCAGGAAGGCACAAGTGTTAAAACTGAAGGATGCTCTTCACTAGAGACAACATCATAATATTAAATGATATTATAATATAAATTGAGTGAGGAATTTTTTTTATTAAGAAAGATTGAATGCAAATTAAAATTGTTACATGTTAGTAACATGTAATATCTAATAATGTTTTATTTCAAAAAAGTTTAATGTTTATAAAAACTAATGTTATATTATAAATATTACTTTGTTTATTATTGTCTAAAGATTTAATATACATGCCCATTTAAATGATTACTGTTTAAGGCAATAATTTATGTAAATTGGACATTTAGTTATATTAAATGATGTTTAATTTTGATATATATAATATATATACACATACATTATTTTAGAAGATTACCTAAAAAATATTATATTATAGACGATACTTATTTTGATTAAAAAATGATATTCAAACAAATAAAATCTTTGTCTTAAAAAAACATTAATTGTAAATTTATATAAAAGAATTATGATTAGATAAATAGTTAACAATAAAATATACATTCTCAATCAACTACCGCTTTCCAAGTTCTTATATTATCAAGATCAACTACTACCAACTACTAGCTATCTCATTAAAAATCAAATAGAGATAAAAAAATTTTATAGTAATAAAATAATAATATAAATATAAATTTACATAGGATCAGTGCAAGTTCTACTTGACGTCATAACACCTCCTCCACAGCTTCGAGAACAAGGCGTAAATTCGGACCATTCGCCCCAGCCGCCATCTATTGGTATATTAGAACGGTGAATTTTATCTATGCAATTTCCATTTTGGCACCACTAGATTCATCAAAGAAACAAAATTATTATATATAAATTTTTAGAATTAATAGTGCCAGGCGCGTACGCAGGAATTCGCTGTGGAGGGTGGGGGGAGGGGGGTGAATAATTAAATTTATTTATAAAATTATTTTAAGAATAACTTTAGTTTCATAAATTTATTAAACTAGTAACTAGTTTTGTTGAATTGCCTTAAGCCGATTTTAAAACGGCGAACTCAGTATTTTATCTATAAAAACATAATGTAAGCCTGAATATTTTGCTCATAAATGGCACAAAGATTTGGACAATTATTAGCGAAATCTCAAGGCTTAGGCAATATTTTTGTGGCTAAAATCTTGAGTTAACCATTTATAAAATTCAGCTCAAATCGAGTCGTTTAACAACAGTACTAAAAATAGTAAAAAAAATAATTAAGAAGCATATTATATTATAAATTTATAATGAAAAATTCAATATTCTTGGAATTGAGCTAATTTTTCAATGATTTCATCCGTGCTTGGTATTAACTCCCTACATATATTAAGAAGGACTAACACCCATCCAATATATTTTAAGAGGTAGTACTTTAATGTGTAATGTTGTCAAACGGCTCAATTTGAGCTGATTTTTAAGTGGCTATCTAACCAATATATTATCCAGAAAAATATTACGCAAAGCTAAATATTTTGCTCATAGATGGCACAATGGTTTGGACTAGAAGTCTGCAATGGGCGGGTTTTAGCCCGCCCGCCTAATTTTCAACATTGGGCGGTTGACGGGAGGTAACTTAAAGTAATGGACAGGCTTGGGCAGTTGAATTTTAAATATTTTTCAAGCGAAATGAGCAGAACAGGCTTCAATTTATTAAAAATAAAATGTTTAATTAAGAATACATTAAAATAAATAAATAAAAAGCCAAGCCAGCCATTAAAATAATTCTTAAGCATTAGGCGAATGAGCGGGAAACAAAATTTATAAATAAGCGAAATGAGGGCGGGTGACGAGTGGGCGGGCTTTTTGACTAAACCCGCCCAATACATACCTCTAGTTTGGAGATCTATTAGCAAAATCTCGAAGCTCACTCAGACAGTATTTTTTGATTTTTAAAAATCGGCTCAAATCGAGCAATTTAACAACACTACTTTTCAGATATGTTTTTATTGTTGTTAGAGAAGGAAATGTTCTTTTATTGGTAGATAAATATATAATAATACATAGGAAAATAGTTTTAAATGTGTTTGAAATTATGCGAAGCATCTATAACATTTCTTGAAACATTATCAACCATATTTAACCTTTAATACTATAATTTGCAATCAGCTAGTAATACAATTGGATACTTTAACATCCTCACAATAAAAATCTGCCAAATATTTACTTTTCTCTAACAAGATTTGAGATAGATTCGGATTCTGTAGTAATAATATTTGCAGATTTGTAAGTGCTGCCTGGTTAATTAAGAAACTTTCATTCATTTAGTTATAAAAATATCCAAGAAGAAGATAAAGAGATTTATTCTATGGTATTTTTTGACTGACCCTATATTAATATTGGAACGATAGGTTTGCCTTGTTGCTAGTAGAGGTAGATAAATATTGAATTCATAGAGATCTGTTTTTGACTCAACAATGATACAATTTATGAAATTCGTCATCTATATTTGCCCTAATTTCCTAAAGTTCCAATATAATGCTTTCAGCTATTCTCGTAGTCTCAATCATATTGATGTCATTTTTTGAATATTTTACTTTTAGTTTTGCAGTGAATTAGTAGTGTATTTATTTCTGCTGTGAATGTGATTAGTAAATGTAGGATATAAATAAGAGGTTAATCAGTAGTGCTAACAATTCTTATGATTACTCAAATAATTTTATATTCAATTCAAGCCCTGTTGAGATGAAAGATTATTGCTCGGACCGCATAAGTCTGCTTATTATTAAAATTACTTTTTTAAAAATAAACAAAGAATTATTTAAATAGTTTAAAAAATATAACTTTATTATAACCACAACTGGTCCCATCAGCCCATTGAGTGTACATATAATCGCAATTACGTTTTTTATTGAGGCAGTAAAGATATTGACAAGGTGGCTTAAATTAAATGTATAATATATTAAATTTAATAATTTTGATTTCGTTCCTTTTTCCTTCCTTTTACCTTCTTTCCTTCCAATTTAAAAAAAATAATATTATAATTGGAAAACTAGTAATTCCTGATAATATTTAACTTTTTGCAAAAATATTCAAAAACATTCCATATTATTGGTAATTTTACAACTCTTTCAAAACTGTCAAACCTTATTAATATTAGGGCAAAAATGGGAAAAAGAGCCGTATATTAACTGGCATTGTTGATGAAGAGAGTATTCCTCGCCAGGTGGCCTTAAGGCTTTCATTTGACTCATGTATTCCATATTTTCTGGCTTGTTTAATAGACATTGGCCAAAACCTTTGCTATTTTATTTTTTTTATTAAAAAAATTATATAATTAGTTTTCATCAATGTCATATAATTAATTGATTAAAAACATTTTGCAAAATTATAAAATAAATAAAAATTTTTAATATTATATTACATTTATACAAAAATAATAAATTATTACAGTCCTGTCTGAGTCAGCGTAATCCGGGTTTTTTAATATCTGTAATATAACGCTGTCCAATCGCATGGTATAAGTTGTAAAATTTAGGTTCAAACTAATAAAAGTGTATTTAAAATAAAGAACATTAAACAACTGCCCTTTTTACTCAAACGTTGGAGGAAGTCAATCAGAAATCTGCATGGAGAAATATCATTAGACTCAGCCCAAAGAAAGACCAGCCCGAAATTTAAAATTTTTTTTGTCATAGTCCGAAACAAAATTATTTTCAAATAGGCTCACCTAAGACCAAAGTAATTCGAACCCAATGGAGGGATCGGATCTGGCCTTGCAGATCACTAAGGTTACAAGAATAATCCCAGATCAGGAATTGAGCCCCCCCCCTATCAAAAAATTAAAAATATCCCATCAGAATTCTTATCTGAAAAGATTGGGAAGTTCTTTTGAATGGACGGAATTTGAGTTAATCATATCTTATAATGATTATAAAATTGTGTGACTAATGAATCGGCGATTAAAGAAGCGACAATTAATATTGTGATGTCAATTTTTTTAACTGGAGAGTTGATTTGTAAAAAATTTCTATTGACTCTTCAATATTCACATTATATTGAAACAATCGCTAAACTATTAAGTTTTTCCTGAGTTATAGTCAGCCAATATGTATTTACTAATTTAAATCTTGAAAAGCTTCTTCGTCCAGGCAACTCGAAATATTTTTTTTTAAATGTGGCTCTAAAATTAGCAAATTTATTTTACCATCCTGAAAATCGTAAAGCTCAAGCCCCAGACCAGCTCTCCATCTAAGTTTTATTTTGATATTTTTGTACATTTTCAATTATAATCTTGTAATTTGATGTTTGCACCTTTTCTTATTAAATTTTATTATATTGAACAAATTTCGATTAAAATAATAAACAATTAATGGTTTTACAAAATTGACAATTGTTACAAGAAATATTTGAAAACTGTAAGAAATAATAAATGTTGAGAGTTTTTAAAATTTTTATATAAAATAGGCGTTGATGAAGATCTTATTGAATTATCCCTTTATAAGGATAAAATTTATTTTACAGAAATACCAAATACATTAAAATCCGTTTACTTTAGACTGAGAGCTTTCCCTTGACATAGTATAATATTATAAAATTAATTTATGGCCTCACAAAATAATGCATGTAATTTGAGGTTTTTCAATTTCAAAATTATTTTTTTAACCCTACATAGTTAATCTCGACCTGACTAGCAGTCATGATTTACGTAAAATTTAACTAGCATATAAATTCGGTAATTTAATATCTTGCCATCGACCGGCCAATTTTTTAAAATTAGTATGGCAAGGATTGATATTTTTTTATAAATCTTGATAACTGAGTCTAAAATATTAGAAAAAGCCTTTATTATACAATTGAAAGATATTTTCGGAAGATATTATATTTTATTTAATTATGATTTACTCTAAAAATGAGGAAATATAATGCTGACTACATTTTGACCAAGACAATATTCTGTTGTTAGGATATAACACCTTGGACATAATATGGTAGGTATTAGCGTCAGCGTCATATGATTCGAATTCTTTGCAAGGCGGATCACCATCATGTGGTAAACCTAAACTATTTTTAGTATTAATTTTTATTGAATAATCAGGGTTAAACATACTTGTGTCCAATTTCATGAGCTATCGTTAAAGCTACACTTAAGCCATTATCTTCCGCGATAGCACAACTAGTTGTGGGATCGCATATCGATCCCCTAGTCATAGCTATGTACATATATTAATAATAATAGATAAAACTTAATATATTTGTTTTAAAGTGCATTACCCAAAGTTTGGCAATTAATTTCATTGCTACATATATCCTGCCTTGTCAATAATATAGCTGTATCATGATGAAAGAGTTCAAATTGAGATTTAGTATTGTGTTCGTATTGCCAGTCACAAAAATTTCCAAGTGTGGTTTCACCGTTTCCAGTAATTTTAGGGGCATACTATACATTTATATTATAGGGATATTTATATGTACACTATATCCTTACAACCAAAATGTTTTAATGATTTTATTAGTGGTCGCGGACAAACAAAGCTTTATATTTAATGTCAACATAATCTTTCTTCCATTCCTTCGTTCCTTTCTCCTCCCTTCTTCCTTCCTTCCTTCCTTCCTTCCTTCCTTCCTTCCTTCCTTCCTTCCTTCCTTCCTTCCTTCCTTCCTTCCTTCCTTCCTTCCTACCTTCCTTCCTTCCTTCCTTCCTTGTGACAAAAAAATAAATTAACTCATATTATATAATTTATAAATATAAAGCAATCACATTAGCAAGCATTTTAAAAAATTAAAGATAATTTAATAACCTCGGAATCTTGAAATATGGCTATTTTTACTAACACAATATTGATTGCATTGCCGATAGATGGATTTTTATATATCATTTCAACCTATTGTTAGTTGTATATTGTATATAAAATGTATAATTGATTTATAAAGAGATTAAAAAATAAAGTTTATTATGCATTACGATAGATATGATTGTTAATATGTATCTCTGAAGATCCGGTCCATGAGATTTTGCAACATCATAATCAGCTACTATCATAATTTCTACGAAATGTTCGCGAGATACTGAACGTTTTTTTATAGGGCGCCCATTAATCCTTTCTAATTATATGATTAATATATTTATAAATAAATTTATATCTAATTATTTTTCTTTCTTTTTTCTTTCAATAAATTCAACCTATTTTAATTTTTTTAAATTAAAAGATTAAATTCATAGGATTTGAGTTAAAATCACAAAACTAAATCTTTAACTTTTGTTTTTCTTAGATTTGTTAAATTATACATATGAATCTCTACCTCAAGTATTAATGTGAGGTTTACCAGTTCAAAATTACTCCATATCATCAAATAAAAATAGCATAAATAATCCTAACCTAATAATGCATTCAATTTTTATCCGGCATTTTTCCAAAAATGACATCAATGCATTCCACGAAGCTAATAGGATGTGAGCAAAATTTAGCTTAGCATTAATCTCACTTTCAACTAAAATGCATGTACTATCTAAGTAAGGCGGTGCAAGATACTGCAATAAAATACTTAATGATCAAATCAACTAGAGCTACTGTCAAGAATTTTTAAAGGGGGGGGAGGGGTGCATCTATTCTATATTAGGCCAAAAAAACAAATCCTTAAACCAAAAAGCATATAAGTTTAATATCATGTAAATTTTAGATAATTAATAGCCATGATTTCTAATTTATGGAGGAGTCCCCCTATATGTCCCTTTGGCTGCTCTTAGGTTCAATCGGGTTGTATTTAAATTTCCTAAAAATGTTAAATTATTTAATTATAAAAAAAATATTTTTTTGAAGTATCAATTTTTATTTATTTTTTAAAATTAGTAAATTTATAATTAAGGGGAGAGAATTTTCCGCTTCTCCCCTTGGCTACATCAATGCACAACCCATCATAATCATATGAAGATATAAGTGTTAATAATAGCACAAAATTTTCATTTTATATAGTATTTGTATTTTTGTAAAATACAAATTGAAAGTACTTAAATAAACGGCAAGTCTCCCAATTAAAGAAATAATTTTAATCTTATTATTTAAAAAAGAGCATTATTTTAATTTAAAAAAAAATTAATATTATTAATTATGTACTTACAATCTAATTATTTGAATTTATATTCTTCTTTTATGATATTTAAAGATTTTGGGCTATTTTAAAAAAAGGTGAATGAAATATATATTGAATAAACATGTTTATGCATAATCCAGAATTTAATATAACTCATATTAATGGTAATTAATATTAACTTTTTTTGGTATGTTTTTAAATTAAAGCTTGAATAATAATAGGAAACAATGTATCCATTATAGTTTTAATTTAAAATATGCTTTTGTATTTAAATTTTAAATCTAAATTTATTCTCGTTTTCCTTCAAGCTATTGGAATTAGGGCTAGGCTAGAGACAGTTCTCAATTGTTAAGAGATTTTCAGAATCTCTTTTAATTCATTTAATTAAACAAAAAATATAAGCGAAAACAAATGGTGTATCTAGTTTTAACATTTTGGATGCGTTTTCAAATAGAAAATATTGAAAATAAATTTTGGCAGGCTGAGTTCCCAGGAGAGCCATTGAAAGGATCCTAAATTTAAATCATAGCTTTCTTCCATTTTAAATGGAGTATATTAGGCATTATACTAATCTAAAAAACTGAAAAACCATGAATGGCAATTAATTTTTAAATTTTATAATAATCATATAGTGAGTGGTCGAGGTTTGATCAAAATCATGAATCTAATTCCAGATTTACTTAATTATTAACATAACATTAATAAAAATAATAATAAAATATTAAATTACAATGACAAAAAAAATAGAATATATATCGATTTCAATTTTGAAATAACCTATGAATAAAGATCAATACAATCATAATCATGCTTTGATCATGCGTATTGAATAAGTATGTAGATAGCGAGACACCATCATTAATTAATAAAAAAAAAATTCTATACGGATCTGATTAGTGATGTAAGATTATCTTATTATATAAACCTTAACAACAACATTGAATTTTTTTAAACAATGATGAGCTGCTAAAATTTTTATAAATGAAATAATCGATTATATCATCATGGTGAAGAATCAAGTATCGAAAAGATAAGATTGAATTTTGAAAACAGACCCTTTTTTTAAAAAAAAGAGAGAAATTTAAATGATGGTTATATTAAACCTTATATTAAATAACATAGTTAGTTAAGTTGTATAATATTTATATATTGTATTATATTTTAAAAGTTAAGAAGTTATATAATATTTATATATTATATTATATTTTAAAATAAAGTCTGTTATCAATATGACATAAATTACTTGTTTTAATAAAACAACATAGACCCCTCCCTTATAGCAATAGTAACATTATTTAGAGATAAGCTCTGAGATTAGATTAGTTTTATTTTCAAAATATTTATTTAATATTATTAGACAAAATCATGCAAAAAAAATATTAGGGTTAAGGTGAAATACGAGAAATCGGATTTTGAACAATTAAATTTAAATCTAATTAAAATGAAAATAAATTAATATATTTATTCAAAACCTTCTTTTTTTAACAATACAAATTAAATAAATATCCCCATTCTAGAAGAGATTTATACTCTATTTCGATTGTAATCTTTAAAATTTGAGAAGGGAAATTAAATAAATATAAAAATAATACGCTGATAGAAATATTAAAAAAACCTTTATTATCTTCCCTAAATGGACGCGATTGAGTAGCGTTATTCGGAGCCGGGAAAAAATTGGTAGAATCTTGCAAAAAGTTATATTTATCGAATGGAGGCGTTTTTATAGATGATAAGCTATAGACAATATGAGGTTGTGAGTTGTGACTAGAGTCGAAGGATGAATTTATACTTTTGCTCTTTGTTTCAAGAAAATATACATTCACGTGAGTATAGTTTGAATACATCGAATCGTCTATTTGGTGCGTATGGTTATTATTTTTATCTAATAAAGAGGCTAAGGAAGTGTTAAATGTCGATATTTTTGTATCTCTCGGTTTAAATTTCCTCATAGAATTCGCGGTCACGGGTTCAATAAAAAATTGCTTACCATCTATCTGAAACATGCCCATCTTGTTTATATTTTTAAAATATATAAAGAATATAGACTTTAGTATAAGCAATGAATGAGATATAACGGTTAAATTCAATTGGGGATACCGGGTACAAAATGGATTTTGTGTAAATGTCTATAAAATGACAAATATCTCAAATGGTAGTCTGTTCTCTACCTAATGTATACATATGATATGTTGTTTTCCAATATGTATAGATTTTCTATTATTTAAATTTTCGCAAAAAAAATATGATTAACATACAAGAATGATAATTCTACTGAAAATTTATAATTAAATATCAAAGAATTGCAAGCCCGAATCAAGATCGGGCCGATTTAAAAAATAAATTTAAATTATATCATCCGTCGGAAAATCATATGAGCACTTTAATATTCATTTCCTGCCCATATTCAATTCCCATGCAGTATACAATGTAGATTCAAAATAATGAAATTTAAAAATGTTGGACCGGATCGTAAAATAAAAAAGTCCGGGTCGCTGGGCTTGATATTAAAATTATCCGGGTTGGGCCAAAAAAAATTTTGCCGGGCTCAAAAAGATTTTCTGTTAGAATCCAGACCAGGCCAATAAGCTACTCTGACGTATATAAATGAAAATAAAATATTTATCGATAATAAATAATATATATTTTTATATATAGTTTTCCTATAATAAACAACGTATACAGTTAGTGAATACAATGGAAAGGTTTGGTAGTTATATACCCCCTTCCCATGAAAAATATGAAGTAGAATAAAATTTTTCATAATATTATATATAGATGAGAATTTGCTTTTATTTTTTTTATAAATTGATAAAACACACTCTTTAATTTTATAATTCTAAATCATTTCAGAATTTTTTTTTCTTGTGTAAAAAAATGGTAGAATTTTATGAACAAAATAGGCAAATATTTCATTTTATAATCAAATTTTCACATAATAAAAAATTTGATATAAATTCTATTAAAAAATTGAAAAACGGGACACTTGTCCCAAAGAGGGTATTTCGTTGGGGATCCACCTTTGATATTTTCTGTTTCCAAGTCTAAAAGCGCACTTAGTATTAATATTACTTTTCTAAACAATGTCTCACCCTTGGCGTCTGAGGGTAAAAAGTTATTTTTTGTAATCCTTTGCAACTTCACCGTATCATTCCATTTCCTAAGATGAGCAAGTCTTATATGACTACTTTTATGCTACAGCTACTAAATCATAAAAGTATCAAAGCTGCTGCTAAGACATCGAATTTCATATTTTACTATAAAAGGTTGATTTTTTAATAATAGTAAAATTTTTATATATGGTTTAATTAATTTAATTTTATTATAATTGAAAATTTTTAACATTAGCAAAAAAAGAGGTAATTTTAACAAAATGAGCAAAATAAAGAGAATACTACCCAAATTTAACGTAAAAATGTCATTATATCTAAAATCTGCATAAAAGAATCATATCTAAATACAATTTAATATTTTTAAAGGGGCTCTCCAAAGTGGGCTTAAAATCCTATGTGCGATTATTCATATTATAATTGTAAATGAATTCGAAGATATTTTTCAAAATAAATAAAAGTTTTGACGTACCCCATATTCCGTTTCGTCTGGTCCCCTATACTTTCTCATGATCATTGTCAAAATTGTGATAAATAAGGCCTAAAAAATTTATAGTCAAATTCTCAACTTCAAATTATGTACCGAACATTGAACAATATAAGTTCATAGGTTAAATTATAATTTAATATCAAAGCTTGTTATAATATGTAATGCACAAGTACATAATATAAAATAATACAACCGTTTATTGAATATTAAGTTAATTTTTTCAATATTTACATAAGGAAACTAAATGTAGTAAAATTTATTATATATTTAATATGATTAAACATAATTTACAGATGATTTTTATAAATTTATTGAAAAAATTATGTGGGAGAAAATTTTATACACGCTAAATTTTTTTAATTAAACTTTAAAAATAAAAACATCAAAATCTTTATTTCACACTTTTTACAAATATTAGTAATCAAATCATATAAAAAATATAGCTTACCTCAATTTAGAAATGTGCAAAGCCCGGCCCAGTCCGTCCGAAAAAATTATAACAGCCGGTAGAAATAGATAGCAATAGAGAAGAGATATAAAGCCTTAATTGACATTGGGAAAAAATTATATAGATATTAAACATGTGAAGTCGGAAAATTAGTACAAAAGAATTTGACGGACTAGAAAGAACTTTTCATAAAAATTTAATTGGGTTACTTGTGCTAAAATCCTAAACGTTAATATTTTATAAATCAGAAAAGTAAAGATTTAAGAACTAAACTTTAGGTACATTAATGGAATAAAAAATAAAACAAGATTGTCTCAGAAGTCAGAACATTCCTGACCTGTTCAGAACGGTGCGGAAAAATATCGGTAAAACGCAGTTATATTATCATTTTATTTCACCAAGAAACACTGAATTTATTTATCGTTTTATATTTAAATTATTGCACCCAAGTTATATTATAAAAATTTATCATTATATTTATTAGGTAGGAAGTTAAAAAAAAATTGAGCCTGTATAAATTTTATACGCTCACATGGGAGGGGTAGATATTTTATCAAAATAAAATATTCGGAGTAAAGGTTTAAAATTAATCGAATCATGAAACCAATGTGATTGTATTAAATTTTTGAGGTCGCACTAAGTTCATGTCCATGGAAAAATTAAAATTTAGGCCCGACCCAGCCAGCAGACTAAAAAAAATAAATAATCTTAACCCGAACCCGGCTCATAGTATATAAAAAATATATAAACACAGGCATATGGAATAATTGCAATACCTGGTCTGACCCGGCACGCAGTTTAGAAAAATATGGCCTAGAAACAGCAATATTAAAAAATGTGCCCAACTTAGAGCAATGAGTGTACTAGAATAATGGCAATACATACTAATACTATTTAATACGTTACTTCATAGTTTATTTTTATATAATTGAAATCAATAAAAAAAAATTATCTATAAATTTATAATCATAAAATAGTGTGCCTGCCTTAAACAAGACATCTTGTTTATATAAAGATCTAAACTAAGCCAAAACCCGGTGTCTATTTTAAAAACTTTCAATATAGGCATGTAGGCCACCATTTTATTATGGAGACATCCCGGCCAATGTATGCTATGATGCGAAGTGTTTTTTCCACACTTTACGCTTTTTACAACGCATAAATATAAACAATCTTTTTAAAATGATATTATTTGATGAAATAATTAAATAGAAACAATAAAATGTGTATTAATATAACATAATCAGGTATTTTTGAGGAAGGTTTCCAAAATTGGAACGGAACATTTTTTAAGCCATAAAGGAAAAGGAACACAGAAAATAAGACATGATCGCTATCGGGTTTTTTTTAAACATAATTCTTTTTAAATTAAAAATTATATTATATTAATGTAAACACTATATATGATTATAAAAAATAATATATCAAGAATTAATAAGTAAGATAACCCATATTTTAGATATAACCTTTCCAATTAGGTTTCATTAAAATGTATATTAATAAAATTATTAGTGAGTCTGACTTTATTTTTTGCATATTTAGAAAGTAAATTAAGAGAATGTAATTATAAAGAGAATCCAAGTTTATTGATTCACTTATTGATATTAAAGAACATCAATTAAATATAGTAAGTTATTTGTAAAAACTCTTTTTTCGACCGAAATATAAAACAAATTTCACAAAAATTATATTACAACATAACATAAAAGTTTTATTGTCAATGAATCAAATTTAAATTAGGATCATTTTAAATTTCATTAGTTTTTTAGGGACCTTACTGTATAACGTAGTCGAGAATTCCGCTTGGGAAAAAAAATTAGACATAAAAAATTATATAAACTATACATAAAATACCGGGATTAAGTCGGTAACAAATTAAACTTAAAAAGTATTTCTCATGAATTATTATAAAATTTAAATTTAAAAAAATCAGGCCCTGCCCGGTTTTTGCAGAAAAATTTTTTTAACCCGAGGCATATTACATTTTGATAACATATTATATCAGCTGCTATTCAAATAAAGTAACCTATGAGCGGGAAAAAAACATAGGTTTGTAATTTATTTGGCCAGGCCATTAAATTATACCATAACATATTATATCAGCTGCTATTCAAATAAAGTAATCTATGAGAGAAAAAAAAACCTAGATTTGTAATTTATTTGGTCAGGCCATTAAATTATACCATTTTTCGGCCCACTTAGGGGAAGGCCTGATTCACTATAAAAATTGTTCTCGTATTATTTAAAATATTGATTAAAATATTGAAAAAAAAAACAAAAATAAATTAAGATTTTTATTTAAAATTCAAAAGATAACATTCTCTATATAATTTTTTTTAAAGTAAATGTGTCGACCTAGACTGTAACTGTAATAGTCCTTGTTAATCCAATTAATAATTAAAAGGTCTCCAATCATGTTAATTAATTTAAAATGAATCGATTTACATCTGCTCTTTATAATACTTCTCTCTTTCTATTCTATACTTCTATATTTACAAGTTAATATATATTTCAAAAAACGTATAAAGTCTGCTGCGAGCAACAACAAAAAAAATCTTTTAGAAATATTAAATAATTATTAATTTGTACCAAAAGGCAAATGTTAAATTTTTTAAAAAAAATACTGTGAATTTTATTTTTATAATGATAATTTAAAGAATTTTATTATTTTTCAAAGTGAAAGAATAGAGAAACGATCAATCTATTTTTATAGTTTAAAAAAACGAATAAAATTTTTATTTTATGAAAAGAATAGGGGAGAAGGAAATTAAATAAAGGAAGATTTCGAGAAAGGAAAATATAATAGTAGTAAAAAATGATTCAAGATCATTATCAATTATATATCATGACGATCGACAAAAATATTGTGTAAAATAAAGATTTTAAATTGGATTTTTTTAGCAAGAAAACTAATTTTATAGTAATGAGTGTTTCAAATCATTGGTAAGCAATCGCTAATATTTAAGATTTGTGCCGATAAAAGGGTAAATAAGTTTCATTTCCACCTCATAAAACATGGTCATTAAAAATAAATATGTATAATATACAATATTTTAAAAGAAAAACATTTTGAAAAATAATTATCATATTGTTATGAATTTAATAAGTATAATAGGTTTTAAAATTGGGATCTTGTTCTAAAAAAAATTATAATTCTTTTTAATAAGGATAATTTGGAAGAATAAAATAATATTAATAAAATCCTTATATTTTTTTTTACTATAAACTTTGTTATATTAAAAAAACTTAATTTGAAAAAGGGCATAGGCCTTAGACATTAGCATTATAAGTGCATAATAGTTGTTTAGTAAAAGTACTATCTATATTATTAATTAGAATTATTTATGAAAAAAATAATAAAAATTAAAACACTTCTTTTATCCATTTTTAAAGGTACTAAAAATTATAGAAATAAAAATTAAAAACCAAGATCTTTTTCTTTCTTTTATATTCTATTTTCTATTGTAAAAGGTTGAAAGAAAGTAATTCGAAACGAAACCAGAATTACTAAAAACTTTGCATTATGCAAGTAATTTTAAATAAAAAAAAAAGTAAATTTTTTGGAGGATTTCACAACTTTGGGGTGCTTAAAAGTTAGAAAATCAAAAGTCAAATTAGGCAGGTTACTGCATCAATAAAGTATGATAGTTAAATATATATATATACATATATATATATATATCAATATCATATTCATAATTATCATTGACAACATTACATCTTGATAATACATTTTAATTTTTATAGAAAATCTACATTTAAAAAATGACAATAAGATTTTAGATCTCTATAATTTTTCATTATATTGATATTTAATTAGATTCATAAAATTTCTTTTAAAATATGATATTTTGAAAAAAATAAAAAGTTCAAGGCCTATTTATAAAGCAATATAAGTAGTATTAATATTATAGAATTACGGCAAATAATTTTCTCTATCCTTTCATTCAAACTTTCTTTTTTCTCTAAATAGTTTTATATAGAAATTTAAAATAGATATATCCACTATAATATCGTAAATTTTGAAAATTATATAAGGAAAAATATTCATAAAATCATGAACTAATAATAAATTTCAATTTATAAAAAAAATGGAAAAATTTGATTAATAAATCCCAGAGACTTGCAGATAACCATTTGCAATGCCCGGCCGTGATTTTTTTTTGTAAAAATATTTTCCGCCCGGCCCGGGTTTTATATTTTCGAGTGGATTATTTTAAAATAAAATTTCCGATTTATAAAAATATTTTATTTATTTTCAATTTTTATGGCTAATAATGGCGATTTAAAATATATGGTTTTAAAATATAAGGCTTGGGCCGGGTATGATTTTAAAAAAATTTAGGCCCGGCACGAGTATATTTAAAAAAATTAAAATATGGCCCGGCCCGTGTAACCAAGCCGGCCTGTCCGGGCCTGCAGTTCTTTGACATATTTTAGTCATTTTACGCCTTAGGCCACTTCCAGATACATAGTTTTTTCAAGGCGTTTTCCTGGCACGTTCAGCAATTTTTTTTTATATTTCCAAACAAAGGATAATATATCGTCGAATTAATTTTTTTGCATAATATAAATTTGTCACCATTTAATCGTTAGCAAAAAAATTAAAATCATTTGTTTTTTTAAGTGAGTGATGTTTTTTATATTTTATTATGCAAAAAATTAATTAGATAATTTATTACTTTGAAAATAGATGCTGGAAGAGTGACCATGAAATCGCTTCAAAAAAAAGTCCTGTCTGGAAGTAGCATCGAATCGTTTTACAGCAATTAATGTAAGGAAGGTAAAATATCTTTTAAAAAATTAAGGTAATTAACATTAAAGATTGAAAAGCAGGCGATAACTAACGCATACTTATAAACACATAGGCGTAGTCAGGATTTTGCTAAGGGAGAGAATGAGAAATAGAGATCTGGGAAGCCCGGTCAGACCTGAACCTGGCGCACCCCGAATAGGATATTTTGCCTTTCGATTAGAGCTGGATAGGTAAATTCGGACCGGGCGATAAAATATATTCCACTTAATATTTTACGAAAAGTCAGGCCCAGCAAGGACCATTTAATTTTTTTAGACGAATTCCAGCACATTTTTAATGACCATATCGATATTTAATTTTTTCCAATGTCAACTATCTTTCTTTCTTTCTTTCTTTCTCTATGTCTTTCTATAACTTTTAAAAATCAATTGTGCTCATAAAATATAAAAAAAAATAAACATCTTAAAATAATAGTATTAATATTTAATATATTTAGCTTGAAATTAAAAAAATATATTAAAATTTTAGTGTCCACGTGGCCTAGATTGATGAAAAACCACAGATTTGTGAGGCCTAGTTCGCTTTCCTATATATGGATTGTCGGGCCCGGCCGGTTTATTTTTTATATACGAATTGCCTCGTCCGTTAACTATATGCCCGACCCGTTATAATTTTTATTATACTAAGAAAAAGATCAACTGTATTTATTTAATAGTATCAATAACTCTTTCCTGTCACAATTAAATATTTAGTGGTGTGCACATTTTTAGTCAGTTCAGGGTTAAGTTGATATTTTATAATAGCCAAGTTTATCTTTGATTAAGGACTTTTTTTAAATAACTTATGATATATATTTAAAAAATTTTAAAAGGTCCATTGAACTTAGATTGGATTATATGTATTTTTGTAGTAATATTATGATAATTCATTATTAGTGTCGCAACAAAAAAATGGATATGTTGAAAGATGGAGGGGGGGGGGGGTCGGTTTGCTTTGACAAATTCAGAATGCAATTTTATTATAACCATTATTTAATTTAAGGATATTTAATTAATGTTAATACGTAAAAAAAATATCAATACCAGTCCATCCCCACATAAATTAAACACGGCACTTTTGGCGAACCGCTTTTCCTCCTTGGAGTGTGTGGAATCGAAAAGAATAACCCCGAAAGTTTCTTGGTCAACGTATCCTTCGTAAATGCAGGCGTCTCGTGTTAAGGTTATTTGTTCCTCCATAACTGGAGACGAATTATTGTTGGCACGGGAAGAAAAATATTGAACTAGTATTTTTCGCGATGAATCCAAATTTTTTTTTATGTTCTCACCTTTCGGCAAATATTGTGTCGGTAATTTGAGAGACGAAACGAGTTTGATTTCGAAAGTTTGTAAGAAAAGCGTGAATCGGGCGATAATACTGGCTTCCGTTTCCTCCTGCCTTTTCATATTATATTCGCTTTCGTCGTTTATATTGGCGTTTTTTTGAGAGGGGGTGGAAAATATACCGTTATGTTCATCAATTGGTAGAAAACTTATTTCTTCACTGAAATTCAATTGAAGCAAATTGTCTTTTTATATAAATTCAAAAAAAAATTGATTTTTTTATGTAAAGTTAAAAAATAACCTAAATAAATGGTTGACTCAGTAGTTTTTTCAAACAGTGGCGGCTAGCGTTTACCCTAAGTCCTTTTGCCCCTCCTTATCAATGCCAATGTTTTTAAATCATAAAAGAAGTATGGCAACTAGAAGTTTTGTAATGAGTTTACATTGGCATTCGAAGACCTATAAAAATGGTCTTGTCTTGAGTAGCATGATAAATGTGGTCTGATTTTTAAAAATATATTAGATTATTTATTGTCATTTTTACTTAATAATTGGCTAAAAGAAAATATTGCGAGTAAGGTCGAGAATTATATAAGTAATTATTAATTAATTATTTATATTGGATAAATAAGGGTTATCAAATTGGTAAGCATCATAGATATTACTTTTATGAGTGGCCACAATTTTGCAGGTTTATAAATATAATACCCAGTTGTCAGTGGATTTGATCATTTATGGTGAATTTATAGCAAGTGCAATTTATAGCTACGAGATCAAATACAATGAAAGTTAATACCATTTGGGGTAGCCTTTTCTCGAGCTCAACATCTTGTCTCACCATTTTATTTGTCGTCTAAGAATTTTTCTGGCCTATGACATTAGTTCCATAATTCTAGGCCTGCATACGTTTATAAGATTATCCAAATAATGATAAATCAAATCAATGTACACAGTTAAACTTTATCGACTTCTTGTTAAATGAAAAATAAAAGCATTGGCAAAAAAAGTTTTAAAAATACTGGAATCTTCATAACAAGTTTTGGATGCTATCTTTAATAAACTAATCATAAATTATATCTCTCTAAAACCATATAAAATGTTATTAGTATAATTTTTCGGCAAAAAAAATTTGCATAGTTACTTTGTCCACTTGCCCTTATGGCCATGCTGCACCTGTACGAGGCGATGTGAGGATAGACCATTCGGTGATTATTTTTTCTTTGATAAAGCTTTCCTCATTTTTGGCATCTGCTATTTTTTTCCTCCCATCTTTAAAAGCATAACTTAAACCGCCCAATTCAAACAAGGATAAAAAATATATTGTATTGAAAAATCTACTATCCTTTGATATTTTAACGACTGGAGCCTTGCAGTCGCAAGATGGACTTTAAAATAAATAAATTTATAAGGGTTAAAAATTTAAAGCAATAAGGATAATTGAATTATTCCATGAGAAAAGCAATTAGTAATTTGCATTTTATTTAACTTCATAGTGTTTTGGATAGCAAAGAACGTGGGGGTAACGGGTGATAATTGAGTGTCTAGTTCAATTCATATATTTTCATGAAATATGCTGGATCAGGCCATAAATTAAAATTCGTAGCTGGCGGGACTTCGGGCAGATAAAATTGAATTTGCAAATTTAACTTAGCTTAGCTACCAGTCTTCATTATTAAAGTGAATAATAAAAGGTGAAAATTTAAGCCCAGCTTGGATTTAAAAAAATATTCTATTTTCAAGCCCGGCCAAGATTTTTTTCTCTCTAAAACTATTCATTGACTCGGGCCGAGTTTCAGGCTTGCAGCTTGATATAAAATTTAATATTAAATTTAATTTTATTACCATATGATTTCGAATACTTGATAGATGATAATTTCGACTCAGAAAAACGAGCTATATTGAGCAGAATGAAGAGATTTATCGAGATATTAGTGCTGAACCACAAGTATTTCTTCGCCATCTAGATAGAAAGAAAAGGATAAGGTTATGAAGGTTCTCCTCTTCAATAATGATGTTTAAATTATTATTTTTTTTCCGCGGTAATAGTTATCTTAGAAAAATTTAATTTCATATTTCTTCTACTTTTCTTTCAAAGTAATTTTTTCCCATATTATTATTTGAATAACCTTCTTTTTTGTATTCGTTTCAATTTACAATAAATTTTAATATAAAAATACTATTATTTTATTAATAAAAATGTTTAAACTTTTTTTTTATAATACTTTTTATTTCGTGCAAATTAATTAGGTGTTTTTTAAAAAAGTAAGACGTAATAGGAAGTTCTAAACTTTTTTTTAAACATTTTCGAAGTTTTTATATAAAAATTAAAAGGTGCAGTTATATTTTAACGGGATTTTTTTTTACAATAAAATTTTTGATTGAAAATAAAAATGATTCAGATATTTTCTAATTACTTAAAATTTTTTAATTAACTTTAATCTTAAAAAGGCGCGAAAAAATTCATTTTAGACCACCGAATATGCAGAAAAAAAAAATTAAATTAAAATAAGAAAAATTTCCCCCCCAAAAAATTTGTTAAATTTGAATAATGTTATAAACGAAAATTTATTTATTATTTATTTGATATCTTTATCGACAAGATTTACTTATTTATAATTAAATTATTTTGAATCATTATTTTAAGAAAAAATAAAATTAAGGTAATAAAAAAATAATAATATCAATTTCCAGAAACTTTTCGATGCGATATTTAAAAATAGGAAAAAGGAAAACATCTTTTTGATAAAAAGAAAAGGGGGAAAAGACAGAATTTTTTCTTATAAGACTTTATAGTTCCGTAAAAAAGGGAATATTTTTTATTTACATTTATTTTAAAAAATGAAACATTGCAAATTAATAAAAAAAAAATATATAATATTAAATAAACGTCAAAATTTATATTCAAAATTATTTTTTTCAAAAAATGTAATTTTGCCCCCCTGTTAATTCCTTAATGCATTTTCTATTCCTCCTAACTAAGAATACATTAGTAATCTGCATCGAGCCTAATTTTTCAAGCACAGGCCAAAATTTTTTGTAAGATCCGGCGCGATGCCGAACGAGATTTTTTTTATTTGTCCCAAAAAGCCCGACCCGAAATAAAAATAATTTGTCTACCCTGCCCGAATTTAGCTAAATGTGGAAAAATTTAATTTCTTTTGATTGTAGGAAATATATTCTACAAATAAAAAAATATTAGGGCCTTGTTTCTTGAAATTTTAAAATACAACAATTTATTTGACAAAATGTAATTATTCATATTTATAAATTTAAGCCTGGACGAAATTATTTTTTAAAAATAGGCATTATTTGCAGATCTCTAGAATACATATAGTTTATGTATATGAGACGAAAATTGTCTCCTAGAAGTGCATTTTCCTATGATATGTAAAACTTTAATTTGCTAAAGAAAAACTTTACTTGGCTAGGAATTTTTTAGAATCTATTTAGTACATTCTATTCAAGGGTTAGTGGAGTTTGAGCTATAGCCCTAATTTTATATTTGTTCTAAAATATATTTTTAAGCCCCCCCCCCCTTTTTTAAAATCAGGTCTTAATTTCTTTTTTAATTTTGGGATTGGCCAAGACTTCAAACCGAACTTAGGAGTAAAGGCTTGAATTGTAAATATTAATTAAAGAATTAAAATATCTAAAATTTTAGTTAGAGTATATAATGTCGTTTGTTTAGTCTAGGGAAGCTAATTTTTGGAGAAAGATTGCAGGCACAAGTTTTGATAATAGGTTATTGTTAAAGTCAAATTCAAATAAGCTCAAATTTTTATAAAAAAATGAACATTATTTTGTGTCATTTATATATTTTTGGGCACGAATATATATATTATATTATGATATTAATTCTAAATGCAAATAATTTTATGGTAAGTTTTTTTCAATACACTCAATTCTTTATTCATATTTTTCATTTAAATTATTTTAATTAATATTTGTTAAAAAAATTTTACAATAAAAAATTATGCTTAAAACCACGTTGCCCCAAAATCAATAATAGTGAACGTTTTGGCCAAAATCACGAAAATGTAAAAAAAAATATATATAGAAAATATTTGGCCAAAATTACAAAAATGTAAAAAAAATAGTAGAAAATTTAAAAAAAATAATTTTGTTCATATATTTAGCCAAAATCACGAAAATGTGAAAAAAATATAGAAAATGTAAAAAAAATTGTTGATAAAAACTCCCAGAAAAATAATTTTTTATTTTATATTTATTCGGAATCACCATCAAATTTGCAGTTTAATGATGTATATGATATCGTCAATGCGCTTTTTCCGTCAGTGTGTTATTTTTTCAAATTTAAATCATTTTTCGAGCGCGTAAATTTAAATTTGATTTTGTCGGAAATGTATTCTGTCATGTTTGGAATACCAAATTCAGACAATTTCGTTATGAACTTTTGAACTTAAATATTTTATATATGCTTTCCCATTGATTTTTTTTATAAATTATAAATGACTTAAAGGTTAACGGCAAAATTATTAACAATTCATAAGATAGGTATTATAAACATGCTGGAAGGAATACATTTCCGGTTATATATGATTTTTAAATGTAAGAAAACGCGCTCAAAAATGATTTAAAATTGAAAAAATAACATATTGCAGGAAAAATACATTGACGCCAATATATATATTGATACATAAAATATATATATAAATTTATATATCCTTTTAAAAATTAAAATATTTTTAATTAATAAAAAAATATTGATATATATATGTTAGCGGCCATGTGTTTTATGCGGCAATGTGCCATTTTTTCAACTTTATATTTTTTTTGAGTGCATTTTATTAAATTTAAAAGTCTGGTTTTACCGGAAATGCATTCCGGCATGTTTAGAATACCTATCTTAAGATTGTAGACAATTTTGCCGTTAACCTTTGAATCATTTATAATTTATAAAGAAAATTTATAGAAAAACTAATATAAACTATATTAAGTTAAAATGTTCATGGCAAAATTGGCTAAAGTTCATAGGGTAGGTATTCCAAGCATGTTACAATACATTTCCAATAAAATTAGGTTTTTAAATTTAAAAAAAACGCTTAAAATATGATTTAAATATGAAAACACATTGCCGCTAACATATACATCATTAAACTGCAAATTATAATATATATAAGTTTACATATTTTTTAAAAAATTTTTAATTAATTTTCTAAATATGTAAATATATTTATACTAGCTAATTTTTCTTTATCACAATTCTCACTTCAAGTTAGTCATAACAAGCAATCAAATAAATAAAAAAAACATGCTTAATATACTTATTAAATACAAAAAAACCGTGAATTTTCACTATTTTTTTTGAAGGAACAATTTTTATAATATTTTTTTTTGCAACATCTTTTTATTATCAAAAAATTCAAAAAAGATGGTTTTCTTTATTAATTAATAATAATAAATTGATTATTATTTATGTAAATATAATTCTTATTCTAAAAAAACATTTAATTTGATCATCAAACAACCCATAATTTTTGACTAAAAAACAACATCCAATTTCATACCCTAGAGCAGTGGCCCCTACACTTTTTGAGCGAATGAAGCAGAATACCCCCATGAAAAGTACCCCCTTGAAAAGTATCCCCCCCCCTTCGAAAAAATGATAATTATGACACCCATAAATTTCAAAAATAATTTTTATTGCATCAATTTTTAATATATAATATAAAATGCAAAAAATATAACTTTATAAATATTATTTTTAAATTAATAATTTAGATAAATTAGGGGAAGAGAAAGCGAAAGAATTTATAAATTTATCAGTATTTAATTGTTTAAATAAAAAATTTTCCATTGATAATATGGTTAAATTATTGAGAAAAGAATCTTTCATGGTACTGCGCAGTCTTGTTTTAATTAATTTAATTTTACTCATGACTCTTTCGGCAGTACATGAGGTTGTGGGAATGGTTAATAAATATTTATATAAAATTCTTAAATTAGGGAAAATTTTAAAGTAAACGATAAGGTAAAATAAATGAATAGTTTTTCCAATCTGAATCGTAAGTCCCTGAATTATCATCATAATCAGAAGAAGCTAAATAATGTATTGGTAAAAATATTTTAATTAAATAAATTTACAATTCTCAGAATCTGACAAATCTTTAGATTCTTGAACCTCTAGGTCATGAGTAATAATTACATTCCCCATTTTGGCCATCTTATAAATATTTCTAAACTTCAACATTTCTTCGAAAATTTGACTTAAATTTAAATTGTAAAATTCACAGATATCCTCGATACCTTCTTTAATAATTGATTTTTCTGCCATTCCCTTTGGCGTAAAAAATGATGTTTGATGTAAAAATTTCATTGAATCATCATTAAATCTTTCGTTAAACTGCATAATAATTAAATCGAGTGCAGCATAAAACACACCTATTTTAAAGCTAAAAAAAATTTCTATATATAATGATGAAAGTATATATACCTCTCCTTTTTGGATTGTAATGTTTGAAGTCTAGAACTTTCAAAATCAAAAGGTAGATTTCTCTCCTTCATAAAATCTTGCGCCTTTTAAAAAACATCCAAAAATTCAGTGTTATTATCTATTAGATTAAAAAATAATTAAGACAATAATTTATATTATACTTCTCAAATTAATCAAGCAATCTTTTGCCAATTGAATTTGATTTATTGCATACCCTATATCCTTCGAAATGGTTTGCAATTTTGTACAAGCCAAACTTGTTATCAACAATATTTTATCCAAAACACAAAGTGATAAGATAAAATCAAATTTTTCTATTCTAAAGACTATATCACTAGCCATAGTGGAAGTGGCAGGATCTTCAGAATCCTTTAAATTTGCCAGCTTCTAAATAAAAAAAACATTTAAAATTTAAATAGATAAGGAACTATTACCGAGTGGTATTCTTGACGCGTAGAAA